TTTTTTTTTTTTTTTTTTTTTTTTTTTTAAATCTTTTCTTTCCAGGAATTCCTCAGACTGTTTTTAGCCTTTGGGAAAATCAAATGTACTTTTTTCTTTTTTTTTTTTTAATTTATTTTTTATTTTTTTTCCCCCCAAGCTTGAACACTGTTGCTAGCAAATTCTTTAGGTAATTTTGTAAGATAAAGGAAAAGATCATCGTGCTTAGTGCAGCCAACTAAAAAAAAAAAAGTGGATTTTTATCCTCAAGCAGGTTGGGAACACCACCCTTTACTATTTCTTACCATCATTTCCTCCTTAAAGCTGTTTTTTTTCCGTTCTTCATTAAACACACAACAGGCCAGATGATTAGGCTTGTCCTCAGGGACAATAGACTAAAAGCTTCAGGCAGGGGGCAAGTCACTAAAATTGAGCTTACATTTTCTTATTCGTGGAGGGCTAAGACTGATTTGATTATAAAATACAAAGCTTCTCCCCCCTCCCCCACCTCCTAAGTTTTTTACTTAAAAATGGCTGTAAGTGTAGACTGATGTATTTTGGATTCACAACTGGCATTTAATAATTTGTTCATATGAAGTATTTGGAGAGGCAAAATAAGTGTCAGAACAGGTCAAAGACTTGTAATGTAAATCTACACGGTGAACTTGGAAGTTTTTTATTTAATAAGCTACTTATATTAATGGGGGCTTATAAGAAAAATGGAGAGAGGCTTTTTATCAAAGCAGGACAAGGGGCAACAGTTTTAAACTGAAAGAGAGTAGTTTTAGATTGGACATAAGGACAAAATTTTTTACTGTAAGGGTGGTGAGATAGTAGAACAAGTTGCCCAGAGAAGTTGTGGATGCCCCTCCTGGGATTGTTCAGAGTCAGGTTGGATGAGGGTTTCAGCTACCTGATATGGTGGAAGATGTGCCTGCCCATGGCAGGGGGGTTGGACTAAATAATCTTTGAAGGTCACTTCCAAATCAAACCATTCTGTGATTGTAAATTATAGCTTTCTTTAAGGCAGATATATCTGTTTTAAGATAGAGGAAAAGGAAGAGCTGCTAGCAACAGTGAGCTTCAAAATGGGGTAAATGGTAGTACATCACTCGCACAGGGAGAGGTCTAAAGATAAGATTTTACCTGAAAATCTACCTTGGGATGGAGAACATGTATTTGAATAACTAAGGCAAAGGAATCTGACAAGAAGTTTAAACCTAACATTTCTGTTATGACCTATCAGAAGTTTCTTCGTGTTTACTTAGGACATAGTTCCATGGTCAGTCCATTCGCACATACATTTTAGCACTAGGTGGGATAGTCCTGCCCCTTTTCCATCCCCTGGTGCTAGTTTTTGTGCTTTTCTTTGTGCTGACACTAGTATTTATGTGGGTATATCACCAGCTGAATCAGATAAAGACTTGTTTGAAAGAGCATATGGCATTTCTTGCACGTTATTTTTCCACTGGATCAGACCCTTGACCTGACTCTCTGCCTTGCAAAAATGCTAGTGCTGGCAGAATTCAGGGTTGGGAGTGCATCACTGGAAGTGGGGAGGAGTGGGATGGATCCTTAGAGTGGTAGAAAATGGGATGGCACCTTTACATGTCCCCTGACTTCCTCCACATTTTATCACCTCTTAAATATCTCCAGAGTAGAATTTTTAGCACTTAGGCAAGTTCCGTATGAATGTCCAAGTAAGAGCTTCTCAGGAGTGTAGGCCAGGTTCTGGCTGGTCCTTCTTTGCCTGAATCTTTTGGAAGGAATTCAGAAAGATACTTATATTCCTAGAACACAGTGTGAATTTTGTGGGCTTTATTTTTGAAGTTGGGGACCATACTTTTGCCATAGAATGTCTTGAACGTGTTCCGAGTATGGCCATGGTGAAGGAGACAAAGTTGAAAAACTTTTTATTTTTCATGAATTGATCTAATAGGGTCTGTGGGATCAACTGATATCCTTCCGTTTTGTAGAAATATCAGTCAGTTTATGTAACAACACTTCTGAAGATGAATGTTACAGGATTACAGATAGTTTTTACAATTACAGCTTTTGTTTAAAAACTACTTTAAAATAAAATAGATCTCTGCACTCTGAACTATCACCAGGTTCTTTTTTTTTTTTTTTTTCCCTTTTGAATATAAAATTGAAGCCTTGAAATCTTTCATGAAACACAAATTCTCATGCTTCCATTTGCACAATGGATTGGATCACTTCATAGGATTTGATTAAATTTAATTACCTAGTCACTGCAGTATGACACATTGCCGTATTTCCTTTAAAAAACTTTCAGGCAAAACTCTTCTGGAAGTTTAAAATTTTTCTTTCGAGAGTCACACGGGAGATTTATCAAAATCCGAGGATATTTTTAAATTCTAAGTCCTGGAATCTGTGAATCTTAAGTCATAATAAAACTGAAGCTTAATTTAGAACACTGAAAGTTGTAAGCATGCAAAGTTTTAAGCGTTCACTGCTAATCATTATTCCCATCTTTGTTTTCTTTTCCACTCTTGTCTTTGCGAATGGTCACATTCATAAATACCTAGCATGTTTGTACGGCATGCTCGTTAGATTTTATGTAGCAACAAAAGTATTTTCCCTTTGAGGGCTAATCGAGAATGGTCTAGCATGGCTTCTTTAAGGCTTTAAATTCTCAGAAATGTGTGTCAGGAAGGCAGCAGGAAATATGGTGTAAGCTTCTGGGGTCACGGGAGTGCCCCTTTGAGAGACCTTTGCTGTTTGCTCTGGTACGTGTGAAGGATTAATGACAGAAGTTCACGAGCAAGGTTTACGCCTACTGTTAGTGTGGCATTTACTCACTTTGAGCTAGCTGGTGTTAGGATATTGTACTTTACAAGCTGGGCCTTGTGATTATGATCAATGTTGGAGTTTATCTTACCTGTTTTAAGTGGCTATTTGTCAAGCCATGAGTGAGTAGAAAGCCCTGTAATCCATAAAACAGTAGGAATCCCCTAGATTGCAGTGTGTGATATGTCCTTTCAAAGGTATATAAATAATATACCTGTTCAAACATCAGTTTATCTGTTCATGTTTGTGTTCTATATGGGCTATAAAACACATGTGTGCATGCCTATGATGTCTGCATATGTTATGATGAGTTCTGCAGCTGAGATTTATGTTTGCCTGGCTTCCTGTGAGTTTCTTGCAGAATATGAAAGTGGCTGGTTCTTCATCACTCTATGCCTCCTTCTCTTATTCTACTTGTTCAGACAACAACTCAACTGGTAAAGTACTCAGTGAGGGGTTTTTGTCTCAGTCTGTTACCTCTGCTGTCAGAGTTTCATACAAATTTGTGTAACCAGTGCATTAATTTTAATTTATCAGTATCTTCGTTAAAAGATTTATGGTTAACGAAAAGATTTCTCTTAGGCTCAGTGTTAGTAGTGAGATTAACAGTACGTATAATTTCACTGGTCCTTTCTGTTGTTGCAGGTAGGCAGGGCAGTAAACCATATGTCTAGGCAGGTTGTTGACAAATTAAAAAATGATATTCAATTTATTTGTCTCATAAAATATATTTATTCTTTAAGCATGTGGTTTTTGTCTGCATTCTCAGTAGCAACATTTTGTTCAGTTAAGCTTCATTACATAGCAAAATTACTCCTCTAAGCAGTGTCACTTTGTCTAAGGCATTCTTTTCTTCAGATGTCCTGTCATTACAGACCTACTGGTCTGGTCATTATGGTTAATACAAAAGGGCAGAATTCTGTCTCTCTCTCTTTTTTTTTTTTTTTCCCCTTTAGATTTCCATTTTAAGAATTTTGCACAACGTAAAAAAATGTGCAGATTCTAGGGAAAGAGACTTTGTTCTCAAGCAAGAAATTTTGTTGATTGTCTCCCACTTAAAAGAAAAAAACGTCAAGCTGCATATCATTGGTAGGATAAACTGCCTTTGCAGCTGAAATGGTGGGCTGGGAGGACCTCAGGCAGTTTTGCTTGGGAAAAAAAGCATGAAAAGGCAAGGTGGAATTCTTATTTTGTTAAAGAGTGTGCCACATGCCATCATCCCCATGATAAACTGATAGAAATGCATAGACTTAGCTTTAGTTTTGGAGAAAATAAGACAATACGTTGTGGCAAAATCCTACCCAGTAAATTAGACCTGACAGGACTGTCATCTGTCAGGTCATCGCATGGGAGAAGTTTTCATTCTGCACTCTGTTCCTGCTACTTATTCTGATGCTGGAGATACTTAATATTTAAACAGGGGGAGACAACAAAAATACCCAACTGCTAAGGCACACTGCCTACTGAGTCTGCCTGTAATCTGACTGCATCATTCTGCTCTCGGCCCAACTCTGTAGTCCCATCATCTTGCACAAATCTCCCACTGACTTTGCTGGGAGTTCTGCCAAGCCATGTCTTTGTGGCCAGGTGATTTGGGTTTAGCTGTGTATTTTGTTCCTTTATTGTCTGTGTATTTTCCCTAATAAATTGATTATGCATGAGTGATACATATTAGTTAGCAACAGAAAAAAAATGCTTATATTAATCGCCAACCATTTTAGTAATTTCAAAGCCATCCGCTTGTTCAAGAGTACATGATGTTACAAGTGTTCTTGGTCCTGCATGGTGAGGTGGAGATATGGTATAAAACAATGCTGGCAAATACCTGCTTTTTGCAGCTCGTGTTCCAATTTACAAGCAGCTACAAAATGTTTTGTTTGTATTTGCCCGCTGTGTCCCTTCTAAGGAATAGTCTGTCACATACCATGGATAGTGGCTGAGAAGGAGATGTAATATGGAGTATAAGCATAGGGAAAATGCTAAAGGAACAGAAGAGTTATATAGATAAATAGAAGATAGTGATGGTTTCTGCACTGACCAGTAAATGCTATTTGACAAACTAGGACTGCTGCAAGAAATCCAGCTTTCTGGAATTGTTTGGGAACTTCACTTAATCTTATGTTTCAGTGCCAAATATATATATATATATATATATATATATATATATATTTTTCAGTAAGAAAAACTCTTTTCTCCCTCCCCTTCACCGCTCTTCTCCCTCCCCTTCACCCCAAACCAAAGACTGCTTCTTTACAGTGTTTTACAATGCTTTCCACAGTTAGATGGGCATGTTTGTAGCTACATGGTCTCCTATTCTGAGATTCTGCCCAATTTAGGATAGATCTCGTTTCCATATCATGATGATATGTGGTGTTTTCTAAGGGTTTCAGTCTGCTGATGTGAAGACACAAATTTTAAAGAGAGGAAATTTCTTTAGGGTTCAGTACTGATATTCTAGATCACTCATAACCAGAAACAATGTTCTCAAAAGTTTATTAAAATTCTGTCAGTCAGGGTAATTATAACTAGGTCATTTTTCATTTAGTATGTTCCTGTAATGTATATAGATGACAAGAGATCATAATAAATACTAAATATTTTGAGACTGATTTTAATCTCCCACCTGTGCAATTTGGCAAAAATTCCATCACAACTGATAGGACTAGGCATTCATTCTGTTTCTTTATTTCTACCCCACTGTAACTCAGTGAAGTTTCAAGAAATTAAAGGTGATATAAAAGGCAGTGATGTTTCCATACTGTATATCTTCAGGATAAAATCAGTTCTTCCTAGTTTTTAGCAATCAATTGACTCTAGGTAGAGTTGAGGTTTTATATCCTTATGGAAATAAAATAAAGAAAAAAAAAAAAGTTGTTTGTTGTTCTAAAGAAATGTGTATGCAGTCAAGTTTCTGATCTAGTCTTTAGTCTTCAGAAAGCTCTACAGGCTTGTCTTCAAGCCTTGTGAATTTTCCAGTCTTCAGTTTTATGTTGGACCTGTTTTTTGTCTTTCTTTTACAAATAGATTCTTGGTAGGTCTGGGCACAGGATGTATGAAGTAATTAGTTTGTTTGACTATTAAATGTGAGTTGTACCATCACTGGTCTCTGTTTACAAGTTAATGAAAGAATGAAAATCTCACTGCATGCCTGAATCACAGAGTGAGCATCTTACTGGTAAATGTGCTCAGACAGTGTGGTTCTATGTGAAATTTTCAGCTGAGTTTTGGGTGCAACACAGCTGGTTTAGCACAGCACTACCCTATTGTTACACTCTGATCTAATCAGTTTTGATACAGTTATCCCGAGTGTATCTGCACTGTGTTACCAAGAATTTCTAGTTAAGTAGGCAAGGATGGAAAGGATCTGAGAACTTTGTTTCAAATTTCTGGGTCTTCCTTGGTCAATTCATATGTTTTGTTTTGTTTTTCTAATTAGTACTTTATTATTAGAATGCTTGGCCATCAAGCTAATGATTCTTGTACTGAACCTTTTTAGATAACACTATTACTAACACTATTTATTTTAAAAAAAAAAATTATTCTAATCTTTATGGAGAGGTGATATTTTTTACAATAGATAAACAGCTAGATTATTTGCATTTGCTGATGTCTCCTATTTTATGTATCATGTTGGTGGATAATACTTGAAGCTATTGTATTTCTAAACTTTATGAATCCTAGCTCACTTCAAATTAATGATCACCATGTTCCACCTTTCAAAAAAATGTTAGAGTGCAGGACAGTGGAAGATGTAAGACAGATACTGTTGTGCATCAGCTTTTAATCTTCATTAAGCCATATGTATGTTCAAATAACATCCCATAAAAAAAATAAATCTCACAGAAATCCTCTCTTCAGACAGTTGCTGTGTGCAGGTTGGATGAACAGTAGTCAACTTTCCCCTCAGGATATTGTCAGATGGAAGCATTTCACTGTAAAGTGTTTGCAGCTGGAGATGTCATAAAAAATGATAAAGATCCTATCATGTCAAGTCTGAGCCAAGTAGGGGCTTTCTGTGTGCTTTACTTCCTTCTTTGCTTTAACATCCTGAAATACTTTATTTCTGCAATGTGTTAAAGTCCCTGAGGCTAGAAAGAAATAATTTTAAAAGAATGACTATTTGGGAGAATCTCACTGGAAAGGCTTTTGTTTCAGCATGTATGCAATAAAAAGAGTTAACCCTTGAAAGAATAACAGAGTAAGGGTTGTCATGTATGCGAAGTCATGGACTGTGTTTTACTCTTAGGAAAGGAGCAAATGAAGAAGGTGCTGTGAGGTAAGGCAAGGTGTGAACAACAGTAGCTCCCCTGTATGCACACTTTTGGCCAGCAATAGATGCGAGGTAACTCACTCAGAGTGGTCTTCCTCCTAAGAAGTAAGAAACCATAGCTCTTACAGTATTTAGAAACTTTAGATAACAGATGAGGTTTCTGAAGGAGGTCAGTAACTTGGTGACTGTAACAAATGGAGAAAATAAGTCAGAGAACAGTGAAATAAATTTGCCCAAACAGAAAAGGACTCCAACAGCTGCCTAGGATATTGGTGCAAACTCTTTTTTAAGTTGTACTAATCAGTTCTGTTTCAAATCAGCTAAGGTTCATGGATTTCAGCTCTTGCACGTCTGTGCATCATTAAATAGCAATGAAATGTATCTGTTTCAGATTTCCTTGTTCCACTAACATAATTCATCCTTTCTCTCCCCTTCTCTCCCCTTTTCTAGTTAAAGCAGAAAAAAAAACCCTGGTAAAGGGATCTCTCTCTGGAACTTCAGTGCTGCCATGCTTCTTTTCAACCACACCCACTATAGCCTCCAGCTATGCAGCTGAGTATCTTCGAATCAAATGGTCAAAGGTTGAACTGGATAAAAGTGGAAAAGATGCAAAAGAAACCACTGTCCTGGTGGCTCAAAATGGCAACATCAAAATAGGTCAAAGCTACAAAGACAGAGTGTCTGTTCCGACCCATTCAGAGGAGACCGGTGACGCTTCGCTGACTTTCTCCAAGCTGCGTGCAAGTGATGCAGGGGTGTATCGCTGTGATGTTATGTACGGAGTGGAAGACACACAAGGCATTGTCTCGTTGGCTGTTGAAGGTAAGGATTTATCTGTTTTATTTGTAGTCAACAGTGATTCCAGTTAAAACAGAAAAAGTCAGCAAATAATGGATAGCCAGAGAGCATTGCATCTTTAGCAATTTAGCCTTCCTTAACTGTTTGCTCTTCCCATTCTCTTTCAGTCTTTTATTTATTCTTATGAATCTGTCCCAATCCATAGCCCTCTCATTTCCCACTTGCACCTTTGGGGACGCTACTCTTGATTCCTGGAACAAATGCTCTTCGTTTATTCCCAAAGGCGTTTGATAGTAGTTTGGGTTTATATCCTTTGCAATAGAAGCTCCTCCTTTTACTTTATTTATTTTATTTTATTTTTTTTTTAGGAAATACCTCTAAAGTTTTCTCAAACCAGCCATTTTGAAACATGACACATATTGTACTAATACATCTGCATGAAAATGTCAGTGTCCTTACAAGACAAACTTCACAGGCAGAAGCAGTTTCTCTTTAATTGTTTGTGTAGGATGAAAAAAAGCAGCTGCCTTGCTAGTGGATCTGTGGTTGGCCTACCTTGCCACTTGATGTACAAAATCATGATGCCAGCAAAATTGGGAGCCACTCTTTCTGTGACAGGAATGTCAAGCACAAAGGAAGAGTTTTCTTTGTCCTAATAATAAAGGTTTGATAGGTAGAAGGAAACCCATCTGGCAGAAGCTGCAGGAAAACAAGTAGGGAGGTGGCTGCTGATGTTCTTCCATGTAAATGACCCAGGGCTAGGAATTTGCTTGCCATCACTATAAGGAAATAGCCTCCAAAACTTGGAGGGAGAGAACACATAAAGAGTGTACGCAAAAACAGATAGAAGAAGCAGAACTTTCAAAAGCATGTAAGCAGCAAAAGGAGCATAGGTGTTTTTCTCTTAAAAGCCTGCTCATGCAGCACGATAGGTATGGTGTAGAGACTGCTCCAGAGTCTGGTGCTGTATAGCCCTGTCAGTCTGGCGCTGAGCCTGAGCTAACAACCTATGCTGAAAGGCAGGACATATTAGCTCAGGCTCTGTGCCATGTAAATGAAAATTCTGGACCCAAATTACTCTGCGTGCTTAGAACAACACTGTGCTGTGTGGATGTACCAGCTCACGTGAGCCTTAGTTTGCGCTCTGCTTTGCACTTCTTTGCTCTTAGATGTTTTTTGAAAGTTCAGTATTTACTCAAATGACTGAATCTCAAAGCAAACATTAATATCTGCTGCTGGACATTATGGCTTTAGCTAAGGATTTTTGTGAACTTAATACTGCATTGTTCTTCCAATACACTTAACCTAACTTGAACAGTCTTTTGGCATTTATTCAATTAAAGGTTTTGGAGGTGTGGTCTTAATTTGGGAATACAATAAATCAGTGTAACCATTAATGTCTAAATAACTTCATAAACTCTTTTGACCTGATGGCAAAAGCAAAAGAAATCCTGGTTTGAACATTAATTTTCAGTAACTAGTGTACCTGACATTCTTTATTCCTTTTCAATTGCTCCCTTGACTACATATCTATATCCAGGAGCAGCAGTTTACTACAATAACATATCTGATGAATTATGGCAATACTTTAGCTTCTGTAGTTAGTGCTCCTTCAAAACACTGCAATGAGATGAACTGATTAGATTGTTTTTAATTGAAAGTAAATTTCACACACTCTGTTTTCTTGCTGCAACTGTTCTTTTCCATGATTGCTTTAATGTCAACACTTCAGGAAAGGAAAAAGACAGATCTTGACCCAAATAGAAAACAATGTTCTTAGATAGTGATTTGTGCACTCCATTCTCCATTTTCTACATTAAATAAACAAATGCCATTTATCAGACATCATAAGGATTTCCTGTGAATGTTGCTGCTCCAGTCTGACCTCATCTCAGTAAGGCTTTATGCTTTTTATATTAAAAAAACCTCCCCAAAATGAAACATGACCCCCAAATGTAATTTATTTTCATTATATTTCCTTTTTGAATCTGCTCCGCAAAGTGATAACAATTGGAGACCCGATATCTTCTGTACATTTTCCCTGTGCATCCTTTGCTGCCTGTTAGCGTGGTGTGGGGAGATATTTCCACGTGAATTTGGGTAACTTCAGAGCTGGTGTCTAGCATGGTTCAGCACTGTGCTTTGGTCAGCTCTCCTGTGTGGATCTGGGGCTGGTGCTTACAGGGCCACCCGTGAAGTCCTGGTAAAATTATCACCAGTTTTGCTACTCAGCACATTTTATACTCATCACAAGTGAAACACAAAATGCATTTGTGAAGCAGTCTTTCTCTGAGGACTGAGCAGGCATGCGTTGCTTTAGGTTTTCAGTGGATTAAAAGTACACGGAAAAAGTGGTAGCTCTGGCTCACTTAGTACTTGCTCAATCGTATAACTTAACCCTAAAGTGAAGCAGAATAATTTTATTAAAGATAGAAAGCTTCTGCAAAATTCCTGGTATGGGGCAATTTAGGTGTGGGAAGAAATGTTACAGAAAGTAACATTCATCTGTTTCTTTAAGTGCCAACACTGTTGTGTGTGTTAAGTCTAATTTAATACATTTTTCAGAAATAGCCAGATGAAATAGGCCAAAGCTTATCTGCATTGTTCTGCTGAACTAGATGAAATTGCTTGTTTGTTATTATGATAACTTTATGGGGTTTGTATGCTTGTTTGTTTGAGCATTTTTTAACCAGTGCAGGACTTGAATTCTAGATATTTACAGGATTTCTGTTTGTTTTATGGACATACCCCCATTTGAAACTTTCCAACAAAAAGCACATTCCAACATCAGTTCAGCCAGGTAGATAAGCTTAGACAGCTGTGTTGATTGTTCTTCAAATGAACATTTGCAAGTAAGATAATAGATAACTGGGAGTGCTAACTTGAATAAGAAAATTTATTGCAATTGCTATTTCTAGCCTTTCTTTTAGGTATGGTAGAAATATCAAACTGCTACTGAATCCATTCTGTATCAAATGAATGTATTTTACCAGTGATGAAATATGTTGTGAATGAAAAACATAACTTGTAAGAAAGAATAATTGTCTCTGTATCATATAAATATTCCCAGGTTAAGCTATACAAGTCAAACAATTGGCATTTGTCATTGAAATTGAAAAGTAAAACTTTTAATGCTAAATTTTTTCTTACTTGAGTCTCAAGACCAAGACTGTCTACAAAAGGTGTGGATAGCTATCACAACAGACAAGTTTGATAATTTGTATGTAATTATTCAGTTAATTTGCTATATTTAGATGCCAAATGAACTTCTGAAGTTGAGTAAAGTCAGATTTATATGTTGTTAACAGCAGTATAAATACTAGAATTACCAAGGAGATGGGATGTAAATACATGTGAATATATGTGAATAATAGCTAACTTAAACACAACCATGTTGCCTTTGTTTCTACCTTACATATTTCTACTACATCTCTTTTTGACAGGTAAAATCTTTCTGAAGAATGGCAGGATCTTGAAAACTGCCATAATTCTGTGCTTTTTCTTTGCTTTGGTTATAGGCTCAACCTATGCCAACCACTTGACTATCAGTAGCTGCTTGTATTCTTTTCACTAGGAGCTCAGAGACATCACCAAGACACTGTGGCTTAACGTGGCATCAGCTAAGCATTACTTACCTGTGTGTGCATTATTACCTTGTGATAGAGGTGAAATAACTCAATCTGGACTCTGTTTAAATTGCTCAGTTTAAAGCTAAGTCTGAACCACCTTGTTTTTACTGGGAGTTTAAGACTGGCAGTGTTCATATTGCTAACTGGGGTGATTTGGTCCTGGAGGTTTGATCTGGGAAAGTCATAGCCATATAGAACTAGAAGGACATGCTGGGTTACTTCATCTAGTTCTGTTGGTATTGCAAATAACCCTGTTACGTGCCCTGCTACGTGCCTTTATACATCTCGAAATCAAGCTAGGCCACCCATTCACAGGTGTTATCAGGTGCTTGGCATATTTCATCTCTAAGATCACTGGGGTTAGATTGGACTGTACCCTATATGTTGCTATTTTCATTTTACAGCTGGTGAAAGTGTAAGAGAACAGAGTGAAACAATTTTAGCCCACACAGGAAGTTTCGGGGCAGGCAGATGCCTGCCCCGCTCATTAATGGCAGCCGCAGGGCTGTCCTTGGAGGCAGGGGACAGCAGCAGTGCCAACAGGTCTGCAGACTCATGCAGAGGGGCAGTTTCATCACACTAGATACCTCCTTTCCTGTTACTAATACCTTGCATGCTGGTTGCTGCTATAATTAGCTCGACCTTTCAGATGAGGATATTTTATGTTCAAAACTGATCTAAGAGTATTACAGTGTTATATGCTTATATGCTTCAACTTCTCACAAGAAAAGAAATATGCAGAACAAATAATTCATGGTTGTTTTTCCTTCCATATGTTGTCTTTGCCTTCTCTTCGCATGCCTATGAAATTTTCCCCTTTTCTCAGGAGCAGCTCTTCCTTTGTCAGCTCTTGTAATTTCATCTTTCTACAGCACTTTGAGCTTTTTTTCTGACCCTTTGTGATGTTATGAAACCCACAAGTCAAACTGTCTCACATTAGGAGTACTTGACCTCACAGTTTTTGAATGCTTAATGTTATTTTGTTTTCATTCTTAGTCATTTCCTTGCCACTGTTGTCTGAAAATGTCAGGTCTCAGGAGATGGTTTTCCCTTCTCAGTAGCTAACACTGAGCTGCCACTTCCTTCCCACTTTAAGCTGGTTTTGGGCAACAGGGGAATTTTCACTGCATCCTTGTAGATACATTTGGGAACAAGGTGGAGGTTGATGACCAGCAGGTAATGCCTTCTGAAGATCGTCCCCAAGCATTTGCTTGCTTGCTAATAGTTTACCAAATGCAATTTCACAACCTTGGCTTGGATGACAAGTCTGAAATCACGAAACCTGAAGTCAGGGTGGGATTTATTTCACCTTCAACAATTTAATGTTCCATGCCTATTCTAAGCTAATCATCTAGGCTTGTGTTACCCTCATCTCCTTTCTGATGAGTGTCTGGT